TGATCATAACTGTGTTATAACGTGCTCTCTGACTGATGACGAAGAAATTCACCTTTGTCAATGCACCTAATCAGCTCGTGAAATATGTTGATGGAAATGTAACTCCTCCATAAGCATATTTAATGGCGTATAGTACTACCTCGTATGCCTTATACAGAGCTTTTAATAGACAGACGAATAAATATAATGCTGCTTGGAATGTATTAAGGTCACGATTTTCTTTTTCCGATTAAATGACCTTTAAAGTGCAGCGAGGATGCTTCATGTCCAGATATTTGTTCGCTTGGAATCCCGATAATTTAACACATTAAGTAAAAAAAAGTTGTTTTTTTATATCACTAATACACTCTCTCAATTTCGACGGGCTATTGTTTTTCCTCTAGAGATTAATTAATGTGCAATTTCTGTCGATGTGCACAGTTAATTAACCCACCGTGGTCTGATGCACTCGGTTATAAATAAGTAGTATATGCAGCGTTTGCAGTGTCTGCTACTATCATATCAGATCTTATAGAATTTAGCATAACATAAAGAAATTAATTCGTGTTACGGGTGTCACCTTACTGCAAGTTCTGAATACCACAGGCAAGTCTGACAATCTCATGTCTTTTCACTGGTTTCTCGTGTTTTTCTTGATTCTAAAAGCCTAGACGATAGTTTAAACACGGCTCCGATTGAGATATATTATTTGGTATTTTAATGTTTTTGTTTTACCCAACTGAATGATTCTGTTTTATCTCTGCACTGCAGATACTAAAATACCATGTAGCCTTGATCTGCTTCAACGTTTCTCTAGACTACTAGGAGCAAGAAGACATTGCGATTGCACCGTGTAAATCCAAAGTCACTGTAAACTATAATTTTATTCAGTGTGCGAATGCGATTTGGCTTGGTCTACTTGGTAACAAACCTTAGCAGGACTGAATAAAGTCAGTTTTTGTTATTGTTTCGTATTTTAGGCTGTTCTTTCCGGAAAAAGCAATACTGAATGAAGAAATGATCGGACGACCGACAATTTGATAAAATCTTTGTACTGAATTCTGGTGGTCATGCAATGGAACAGCTATGAATAAATCTTTAATTGAATTCAGGCTTAAATTTTTTTTCGAAACTTTCTGTTCACGTTGATGAGTTAGAGGGAAGACAAATTTTGTAAAGTTCTGCTTCAAAATACCACTGATACCGTTAATTTCTAGTACGTTAATTACAATAATATATGATCGTTTTTTTTATTTCTTTAAACTTCATACCAAATTGGAAGTAATAAAATGAAAATGCGTCCAGTTCGTAGAGCTGCTCTGATTAGTAAATGCCCAGGATCATTGTAAAAGTGTCTTGTGCTATCAGCAAAAATGAATGATGAGTTAACTATGAAGAATGAAAAGTGTTGTAAATACATTTTGATTATGCAGATATGAAGTGTCAGGAACGGCAAGTACATATGAGCCGTAGGACAATCGTGCAGTGATATTTGCATTAGATAGAGCCATTGTGCACGTGGCATTGAAGGTCATACATGTGACAGCTGTTTTCTGGAAGGAAGATGTCACGTGATTTTTGTTTATGTAAATGAGAACAAACACGAAAGCTAATTCGTCTGAGAGTATCCTCAGTATAATTGTTATGGTAGAACACTTATTATCAATAACTGAACCCGTCAAATTAAAGAAGGGCTGAATGAATATGATTATGAAAATACCAGTGTCTATAAACGAAACCTAGCAGTCAAATAGGTGTACGTTTATTAAACTTTAAAATTTATAATACCAAAACAGGTTTAAAACTTGGGTATTGGAAGTTGTGCGCTTACAGTGCAAACCGAAGATGTACTGTTTTCCTAGCCTTGGATCGAAAGAGGAAACTGACTGAACATGGGAAAATATCACGGTCATTTGAAAACCAATTCAGACAGCCTGATTTAGTTTTCTACGGTGTGTCGTTTCGATCCGTTGCGACCGGTTCAACCTCTTAATTTGTTGCTTTTATTCTATTCGTTTCAAAAGCTACGGACTGCTTTTTTTGCTCAGTCTCCCAACAGCCTGCGCGGCCCTTAGTAACCCGAGCGACGACCGAAGCGGTATAATAATTTTTAATGGCTTCAGT